AAACACACTCAGTAACCAACATTCAAAAGGAAAAAATAGGTCACTACCAGCATCATCAAATCGATCATTTCTGGGCTCTGAATCTGCCATCATGGCCCCTCTCAGCCACTGCCTTCTCTGGGCAACTACCAGCCCCACTTCTAACAGTGTGGATTAGTTTGAGCAGCATAACCAAGCTCCAGGTAATTGATAAGTGAAACAAAATTTAATATTTTTAAAAGAAAGGGACCTAGGAACTCATATAAACCTTGGGGATGGGCGATCCAGGGTAAGACAAATAGAGTAGGGCCAAAGCAGTGTTTTTTCTTTCATGATTGCTAAAGCAAACGGTGACATTACAGCAGTGAGTCACATGCCGAGAGTGACAGAGGACCCCAGTGTACCTGTGGAGAAAATCATAGTAATAGAAGTGCACACAGAACTGCTGCGTCACAAAGGTTCTGTGCTTGTGAGAATTTTTTTTTTTTTGAGGTGGAGTCTAGCTCTGTTGCCAGGCTGGAGTGCAGTGGTGCGATCTCAGCTCACTGCAACCACTGCCTCCTGGGTTCAAGTGATTCTCCTGCCTCAGCTTCCAGAGCAGCTGGGACTACAGGTGCCCACCACCGTACCCAGGTAATTTTTGTATTTTTAGTAGAGACAGGGTTTCACCATGTTGGCCAGCATGGTCTCAATCTCTTGACCTCGTGATCCACCTGCCTCTGCCTCCCAAAGCACTGGGATTACAGGCATGAGCCACTGTGCCTGGCCACTTGCAAGAATGTTTAATATTTGCTTTCTGACTTTCAAGGTGTCTTTCGTTGCATGTGTGTGTGATCTGTTGCTTTTCAGGTTAAATTGTGAGCACCAGAATTTCTGGGGTGAGATGTCCTGAACTCCCTTTTCCAGTTGTCATGTAGGATATGGGGAGACCCTGTTGGGTGATCTGGAAGAGCCAGGGCAGAAACTGGCCAAGGTGACAGTGCTTGGAAGAGTCGTGGCCAGCCTGATGGATATGATACCTTAAACGTTCCATGTATTGTGTCTTCTTTAACGGGGTTGTCCTGTGGAAATAGACTGTGTCTTCAATGGACTCTAACAGGTCCACCAGCCAGAACAGACCTTAAAATATGGCTGTGCCTGTGTCCTTGATTATGCTGAAGTCACAGGTTAGTGTCATGAAACAAAATGTGAGGTAGCTAAGGTTCTCAAGTGAATTTTTTTTTTTTTTTGGAGACAGGATCTTCCTCTGTCACCCGGGCTGGAATGCCATGGTGCGACCTCTGCCTCCTGGGTTCAAGCAATTCTCCTGCCTCAGCCTCTTGAGTAGTTGGGACTACAGGCATGCACAACCATGCCTGGGTAATTTTTGTATTTTTAGTAGAGATGGGGTTTCATCATGTTGGCTAGGCTGGTCTTGAACTCCTGACCTCAGGTGATCCACCCACCTCGGCCTCCCAAAGTGCTGGGATTACAGTTGTAAGCCACCGCACCTGGCCCTCAAGTGAAAACTTAAACTTACTTGCAACATTCTCTGATTTCTAAAATTATTTGAATTTTATGAGAGAAACATGTTTGCTGTTTTTCTTTATAAAAGTCATTTTACTCCACAGCATGATAGACCATTTTGTAGAACTTGGCGTAAAAGAAATTGCTGAGTCATTTATTGTTTTCTCTTAAATAATTAAACTTGCTTTACATATGTCACTTTATATTCTAAGTAGTCCCACGAGATGCATGTTTAAATGGGACACATAATTTATTAAATGTCAGTAGTAAAATGGAACCGAATTTTTGTTATACAATTACTAATTTTGCACTAAGAAAATAATGCCTTTTATTGAGGAGCATTTGTGGGACTTTTATCTTGCCCTGCAGAGAAAATTCAGTGATTCTCTTGTGGGGAAATTTGCTTTCCAAACCATGTTTTCCCTCTTTATAAAATCTTTTGGCTGAGTGTGGTAGCTCATGCCTGTAATTCTAGCACGTTGGGAAGCCAAGGCAGGAGAGCTGTTGAGCTTAGGAGTTTGAGACCAGCCTGGGCCACATAGGGAGACCCCATCTCTACAAAAAATAAAAAATTAGCTGGGTGTGGTGGTGCATGCCTGTAGTCCCAGCTACTAAGGAAGCTGAGGCTGGAGGATCGCATGAGACCGGGAAGTTAAGGCTGTGGTGAGCCATGATCGTACCATTGCACTCTAGCCTGGGTGACAGAATGAGACCCTGTCTTAAAGAAAAAAAAAAAAAATTTCATTTAGTACAGTTTGGGTGTCTGCAGAAGGAGCCGTTTGCTTTGTCTGCATGATTGTTATTTGACAGAGTTCTTGATCTTTGTTTCAGTTTCAGGGTACCTGCAGAATGCAGACATTTTGAGTTAAGAAAACCACACATCTGTCTTCAAAATTGAGATTACCCTCTGTATTTCATTTTTCATAATTGCACAGAAAACACCTATTTTCCTGTATTACACTCTCAGCTTTTCTGTTCCTATTAGCTTCATGTCCTAAGTAACATTCCTATGAATATTTTGCAACAAAGTGGGGAGGCTAAAAAGTAAAGTGACTATTTGTTAAACAAATATAATGCAATTTATGCAGACAAACAAGTGTTACCTACTTCAGAACAGACCCCTCAGAATCCAATATCTTAATTCTAGCAAGCCTGTGTCAGAGGCTAGGACCTTTACTTTTGGGAAGAGTTAAAAGTAACTTGGAACCAAACCTGATAAATAAGGGCTGAGAAACTTACATGGGGAAAGGAACTGGCATTTCTTGAGCCAGTTCCATTTAGGAACACATTAGTTCCATATAGCAACACATTCCATAATAGGAATTGTGTTTATGGGAATGGCCCTGTAAGAACTGTCTCTGTGTTATAGCTGGGCGGGTTCAGAGAAGTAAATGACCTGCACAGGTTCACATAACTAGTGAGTGGGTCCTTCTCCAGGTCTCCAAAAGTGATTTATGCTTTCTTCCGTATTATGATGATTATTTTATTTACTGTTTTTTTCTAGCTGTGTTAGAAAAATATGTCTTTAATATCATAGAACAATTTTTTTTGGTCTGGTTTATAAACCGATCCTAAATACAAATGAACAAGAGGAAATAAACATTTTGAAGAATGTCATCATTATTGAAATGAACAACTTCTTGGAAGGAACACCCTAATATAGATGTCTATGTTCTATTCATGTATGTGAGAAAACAAGTGTTTGAGATTATGCGTCATACGTGATAAATGACTTCACCCAATTTTCCAAATTATATGACTTGGATTTCACACTGGATGTTTCAAAAATTTGTTGATTAACTTATTGGCTAGTGAGTTACTCATTCGCATATTATGAAAGTGACTTTAGGCGTGTTAACTTGATTATTTTTGGTTACAGCTAAAAGCACTTGCTGCTATAAGGTTGTTCTTTCATAGGCAAATAACTGTGCTGATATTGGAGGCAGGAAGGATAAGAGCACCAGGTAACTCTAAAACTAGGAGCTTAGTCACCCTATGAGGGCACCAGGTCAGAGGCCACTCAGATTAGAGGGAGTTCTGGGTGGCACAGAACTTGGTGCAGGTGTTTTTAAAAAAGTTTTTAAGGAATTAGAATTTTGTTAGTAATGTTCCTCTACTAAGAGTATCAACATCGACACTTAAGAAAAGAAGGGGGTAAAAATAGAGAGTATCAGCAGAGAATTTCTGAGATGTAAAAAGTAAAACATTTTCGGCCGGGCGCAGTGGCACACGCCTGTAATCCCAGCACTTTGGGAGGCTGAGGTGGGTGGATTGCCTGAGGTCAGGAGTTCACGACCAGTCTGACTAACAGGGTGAAACCTCGTCTCTACTAAATCCAAAAAAAAAGTAGCCGGGTGTGCTGGTGCACGCCTGTAATCCGAGCTACTTGGGAGGCTGAAACAGGAGAATTGCTTGAACCCAGGAGGCGGAGGTTGCGGTGAGCCGAGATTGCGCCATTGCACTCTAGCCTGAGCAACAAGAATGAAACTCCATCTCAAAAAAAAAACAAAAACAAAACGAAAGTTACCTGGGCGTGGTGGTAAGCTCCTGTAATCCCAGCTACTCAGCAGCCTGAGGCTGGAGAGTCTCTGAACCCAGGAGGCGGAGGTTGCAGTGAGCCAAGATCTCACCATTTCGAATCTCCGTCTCTAAATAAATAAATAAATAAATAAATAAAACACTTTCATATCATAAGTCTAAGACAACCTCTTGCTTTTATGTTTTATGACTTTTTCACCTAACTTGTTTAAAAATTTTGATATCATTAAAAAAATACATTTGTGGCATCCAAAATACGTAAATGTACCACTTATATTCCACATAATTCTTGGTACATATAGGTGCTCAATAAGTGTTTTCTGAACTGACTTGAACTCAGGCATTTGCAAAGCATGTTGAATATGCTATATGTAATTTTGTAGTCTTTTTTTTTTTTTGAGATGGAGTTTGCTCTGTTGCCCAGGCTGAAGTGCAGTGGTACACTCTTGGCTCCCTGCAGCCTCCAACTCCTGGGTTCAAGCGATTCTCCTGCCGCAGCCTACTGAGTAGCTGAGACTACAGGCATACGCCACCATGCCCAGCCAATTTTTGTATTTTTAGTAGAGACGGAGTTTTACCATATTGGTCAGGCTGGTCTTGAACTCCTGACCTCAGGTGATCCACCTGCCTCAGCCTCCCAAAGTGCTGGGATTACAGGCATGAGCCACTGCGCCCAGCCAATTTTGTAGTCTTTTATACAGATAATAGTGGTTGCTAGCATGTGTAAACTGTTTTACTCGAGTATGCTGATAGCACAACAGAGTAGTTAATACAATATGATTGAGAAAAACAATTAAAAAATGCTTTATATCTACATGTATCACATTATGTAAGATGGGCCAGTGAGCTGGTAGAATCAGGAAGCCAAGATGAAGCCAGGCAGATAGGCCTCATGCTCTTCTGGAAGGCTAGCTCTGAGGTAAGTGTTATTTGAGACACAGAAAGTCATTCCAATTATTTAAAAAATCTCTTTCCAGAAACCGAAAGTTCCAGCATCTCCCACCAGAGAGGAGGATTCCTGCTTTTCCTTTCCTAAGCCCCCAGTGGACCCTGCGAAGATTAGAAGAATAAGCAGTGCCAGGGCTCGCTTATTCAGGGCTGCCTCCCAGGGGGCCCTTCTGCCGGACAGATCCCTTCCTCCCTCTGACTGTAAGGTCATGTAACATCCTATAATCTCTGGGGACAGGCATGCTTCTTGAATTTGCACACAAAAGCTATTTTTATATGATTTTTCCTAACCCTGGATGATTTTTATATTAACTAAGAGTTAGTTAATATTGGGAAAAAGCTGGTTAAAAAACATTGTTCATATATTTTTCTGGGTGCTTATAAGGAATACCTAAATATCACAGATGGTAGGAAAAGAAAATTAGGATAAGTGGCTGGGTGTGGTGGCTCATGCCTGTAATCCCAGCACTTTGAGAGGCCAAAGCAGGCAGATCACCTGAGATCAGGAGTTTGAGACCAGTCTGGACAACATGGTAAAACCCTGTGTCTACTAAAAATACAAAAATTAGCCAGGTGTGGTGGCGTGTGCCTGTAATCCCAGCTACTCGGGAGGCTGAGGCAGGAGAATTGCTTGAAACCAGGAGGTGGAGGTTGCAGTGAGCTGAGATCGTGCCACTGCACCCCAGCCTGGGTGACGAGTGAGACTCCATCTCAACAAAAAGGAAAAAAAAGAATATTAGGATAAGTATTCCCTAGTGGATAGTTCACGTATATCAGAAATAAATAATTTTTAAATTAGAGTTCAAAAAGTTGTTAATTTTATTAGAAATTAATGAAAATGGTAAGATTCTTATTATGTTCATTGAGGTTATTTCTTTGAAAATACCCTTCTGATCCCATGTGAGCATGTAAGCAAAATTCCAATGGGACTTTTCCTACTGCCTAAGAATGCTGCCAGGCACCTAAACCTGGGAACAGAGAGGCTAAAGATCACAGCCCGAGGAGTCCCACCAACAATTGGAATCGCTCCCCATCCAGGGCATATTAAGGGTTTCTCAAACTGCGGAAAAGGACCCAGAAGTGGGATGACAATCAATTTAGTGGATCCCACCAGCGTTTTTAAAAACTAAAGTAGAATAGAATATAATGGAAAATGTCAGAATACGTAACACACAATAGGGGTAAGTTTTGCTTCAGGAGACTTTACTTTGGTTTTCAATGTGTGTTCAGGGTCATATTACAAACGATTTCTGACTGTGTGTGGTCAAAAAAAGTTGGGAAACCACTTTACCAGGAGCTGACAGAACTGGTTCTCCCTCCATCAACGAGATTTGATGAAGAGAGATAGGCTTACAGTCACTGAGAGATGGGGAGAGCCTGGAAGATACATACCAAAGATCACAGCCCCCACCTGAGCATCGTACTTGATGGACAAGTTTTTTGTTTTTTGTTTTTTTTTGTTTTTTTTTGAGACGGAGTCTCGCTCTGTCGCCCAGGCTGGAGTGCAGTGGCCGGATCTCAGCTCACTGCAAGCTCTGCCTCCCGGGTTCCCGCATTCTCCTGCCTCAGCCTCCCGAGTAGCTGGGACTACGAGCGCCCGCCACCTTGCCCAGCTAGTTTTTGTATTTTTTTTAGTAGAGACAGGGTTTCACCGTGTTAGCCAGGATGGTCTCGATCTCCTGACCTCGTGATCCGCCCGTCTCGGCCTCCCAAAGTGCTGGGATTACAGGCTTGAGCCACCACGCCCGGCCTGGACAAGTATTTTTTTAAATTCATTTCCAACATTTAAAAAGTAGAAGAATCTCATGGAAGAATCCAGATTTATGACTCCTTGTGAAAAATCAGAAAATCTGGCAACACTGGGTCGCCGTTCCATGTGGCCGCAATGGGGCATGATTGGAGCTGAGTGGTACCCCCATTCTGTGGCCAGGATATGGTCTGCAGTCACCATGTCCCTGGCTTGTGCCATTCACTTGCCTGTTTGGTCCCTGATGAGGCTGAAGAGGTAGAATAAAGGAGGAAAAAGAATGAAAGAAAGGAAAGAAAGAAAGAGAGAGAGAGAAAGGGAGGAAGCGGGGAGGGGGGGAAAGAGGGAGAGAGGGAGGGAGGAAGGAAGGAAGGAGCAAGGAGGAAGGAAGGGAGGGAGGGAAGAAAGGAGGAAAGGAAAGAAAAAAAGGAAAGAAGGAAAAGAGAGAAAAGAAAGAGAAAAAAAGAAAAAGAAAAGAAAGAGAAGAGAGAGCGAGGGAGGGAGGAAGGAAGGAAGAAAAGAGAAGAGAAAAGACAAGACAGTGAGGATGTGCAGGGTGTGTGCCTCACACTGTGATGCTGTGACCAAGTATATCATCAGGCAACTTGCTTTACCTCGATGTCCCAATTTGTTTCCTTTCTTACACTGCCAGTCAGTCTGATATTTATTGAACTCCTACTAAGTGCCAGGCACCATTCTAGGCCAACAGAATTCTGCCCTCAGAGAGCTTACTATCTAGTGAGAGGAGATAGACAACAACAGGAGAACAAATAAGATAATTTGAGTGCTGATGAATGCTCTGAAGAAGATAAACAAGATAATGGACTTGAGGGTGACTGTGGTGGGGTAGTTTGCTTTAGCTCAGGTGGCTCTGAAAAGTATCTTTGAGGAGCTGACAGCTGAGTAGGAAGGTGACTCATGAGAAGGAGGCAGCTGTGTAAAAATCCATGGACCAAGTGTCCACATAAAAAGCGAGTGCAATGACCAGGCACGAGAGCAAGTGCCAGTGGTGGAGGACCCGGAGGTCCGGTGGCTGGAAAGTGGCTGATCAAGGGAAGTTGCAGGGAGCTGAGGCCACAGAACTGCCCAGGGCCTCGGAACATGGGAAACACACCCAGCTGTGTTCTACTTGTAGTGAAAAGGTAGGGTTTACAAAAGGGAGAGGCAACATGACGTGTGTTTTTTCAACAACAGCAGTTCTCATCTGTAGCTGCCCATGAGAATCGCCTGAGGAGCTTTGCAAAAGCTCCACCCCCAGAGTCCCATGTCAGCTCAGGTAAATCAGAAAGGGTTGGTAGTTGCAGGAGCAAAGGGCTTGCCAAGATGGGGGGTGCTGGGACCTGGAGGTGAAGGGCACTTCTTATGAACAGGATGGCAGGATTGGTGCGAGGACTCCTACCTTGTTTTTCATTCTGTGTTCTTGCTTGTGAGGATGAATACTGTGTATGTGTTTCATGCATTTTTAACTTTTGGGAGTGCACACTAGAAAACCCTGCTGCTTGCACTGATGTGAAAGTGACTGCAGAGATGAGTGCTTTGCCCACCATCCTCCTCCTCAGTGCTTCCCCAGTGACTTAGCTCCTTCCCCCCTGGGGTACCTGATTGTTGCCTGCATGCTCTGGGAGATGCCCTGTGCAGCTGTCATTTCCCAGCACTGAGGCCAGCTTCACACCTTCAAGGTGCACTGAAGCATGTTTTCATCGTGGCTCTTTTATCCACCCTGTTTGCAGTCACCCTCTTCACCATTCAGGTCATCCCTGAGGTCTGGGCCAGCATTCAGGAAATACTGGCAGCAGAAACTCGTTGTTATTTTAAAAGCACATGTCATCCAATTACAAAGTTATAAAAAATATTTGAGCTCTCCAGCCTTGGAATCATTGTCATGTGTATAACAGCTCCCTGGGTTTCATTTCAGATCCTCTCTATTGTTTAGAAGAGGTAGGCTTTGTGGGGTAACTGAGACTGTAGAAAAGGAGGGCATCCCTTCATTTGCTGTGAAGTCATTTGTGGCTGACACTACCCCACAAGCAGGGCCAGGGTGTGGTGGCAGGTTTGGAATTCCTGCTTTAAGAGAGTGAAAGAGGAAGAGATTTGTGTAGTCATCTCCACAAGGCCAGCAGTATAACTGCTTTGCGTTCACATAGGGCTTTTGGCTGGAGGCGGCACTGCTGTGAATGCTTCCCCAGTTATTCAAGCCAGACAAGAGGCCTGAGAGCAGTACCACCTCCTCAGCCATCCCTGTCAAACTCTGCGTCACCAAGCCCTACATGTGCTTCCTGACTAGCTCTTGAGTCTGCATTCTCCCTCACCACTGCCGTGGTGCCTCCATCCCTCTTGCCTCATCCTGTTTTGCTGCTCTTAAACCACCCTCTGCTCACTGGGGTGCTGTGATGGTCCGCAGGTCGGTGGATGCAAGGCCCTCAGCCCGAGGAACAGCCAGTGGAGCCTGAGGATGCTGAGCCCCCAACACGACATGGCTATGAGCAGCAGCGTTATCCCTTTATCCCAGGGGACCATGAAAAATGATCATTTTCTGTGTGTTCCATAAAGCACAAGAGGTCGGGAAGCAAATAAAGATCAGATTGCACCATCCTCTTGCTGAAAACCCTTCAGAGGCCCCGCTGTGCCTACAGAAGTGTTTGCCAAACTGAGTTCCAGGGAACTCCAGGGAACACTTTTGACAAAATGTTAATAGCTTTTCTTTGGAAAAAGGTTCAGTGCTCAAATAGGTCAGGGAAACACTGCCTACCCCTCATCTTCTTGGAGAGTCTCTGTGCACATGAGTGTATTAAAGTGTTGGTAAAGAAATCTGTTTAATTTTAATTCAACATAGCATTTCACAAACCTGCTGGACTGTGGGATCTGTCTTTTGGGAAAACAATTTGCGAAACACTAGCCTACTATGGAAGTTGGCAAACTTTTTCTGTAAAGGGCCAGATAGTAAGTATTTTAGACCTGGTCCCTATGGTCTCTGCTCAACCTCCTCAGTTTTGTATTGTAGGGTGGAAGCAGCCATCCGCCAATTTGTGGCCACTGAAACTTGAATTTTATGTAATTTTCACTTGTCACAAAATATTGTTCTTTCTTTGATTTTTTTCTAACCATTTAAAAATGTAAAAACCGTTCTTAATTTGCAGGCTACATGAAAACGAGGTGGGGAAGATTTGGTGGGGCTGTAGTTTGCTGAGCTCTGGTGGGGGTGGCGGGGGATGAAGTCCCAGCTCCTCCAAGTGCACAGCTGTGTTGTGATCCAGCCCCAGCCCAACATTCCAGGCCCTGCTCACGCCTGTCCTGGGCCTGCCCCCTCACGGTGGGTGCACCGGCAGGGTGGAACCCCTTTTTGTTCCCTACACCCACCCTGCTGTTTCAAACCTCAGGCAGAACCTGCTGTGTAATTTGCTGGGCCCAATGCTGAATGAAAATGTGGGGCCCTTTGTTCAAAGATTATTAAGAGTTTCAAGATAGCCACAGCAGAGCCTTAAAACAAGTGTGGGCCCTTCTAAAAGTGGGGCCCTGCCTAACTGTACCGGCAATACACACTTGAAGCTGGCTTTCACTCCAGACTTTTGTTCTCTTTTCTTCAAGCTGTTTACCTCTTATTAACCATTCAAAATGCTTCTCAGCCCCCACCTCTTCTGTGAAGCTTTCTCTGACCAACTCCTAACCCCTCAAGCTTTCTTCACTTTCTCTGCCCCCTCCTTACCTGACTGGGACCACACTGGGCTTCATTTATCTCTTTACACATCTGCCCCCTTTGTCTCCCCTACGAGACAGAGCAACGTCATTAAGAAAAGTGTTTTTCTCTATTTGTTGCCCAAGAGCCTATAACAGGGTGTGGTGTATAACAGATACCAAATAAATATTTGTGAAACTGAACTGGTCCTGCATGGTAAGGCTGCTGGGAGCTGTTTCCTTTTGAAGTTTACCCATGATCCATTACAAAATTCATACAATGTGCTTCTACTATTTACCAAGAGGATACAGACCATAGCTATGCATGCTCAGTTTCATCGGGGACATTCATCAGGAATGAGAGTGAGCCCCCCAGGGCAGCTCTTCGTTGTAGTAATAACTGACAAACTTACTCCGGTAGATTTGAAGATAGACAGGTGTAGCTGCTCGACCAATAGGTATGGTTGGGTTCCCCTTCTAGAAGCTCCGTGATGGCCAGTACTTGTTCACCATGGCTTCATCCATGCAGTGAACAGCACCTGGCACATAGTGGTGGGTGCTTCATAAATATTCAGGGAGTGAATGAATAAGAAAAACGAATGCTAAAAGATAACGATAGGCTAAAAGTACTTTGTAATCGGAAACAGAATGTGTGCTTCATAATTCAGTAGTAAAGTCATTGAAGGTGGTGTGGTGGTATGGAGAGAGCCCTAGCCCAGAAGTCAGGATTCTTGGGTTCCAATCATCATAATGACAATAACTTCTAGGTTTTGAGCGTGCTAGCACCATATAAGTCACTTTACTAGGCCACATCATTTTAAATCTCACCACATCCCCAAGAGGTGGGGACCACAGAAGGTGGTGTGTATTGAGCATCCACATCACAGAGCCGGTGCTCAGGGGGGCCTGCACTCAAACCCAAGTCTGAGCCAAAGCCTGTGTTCTTCCCACCCCGTGGGCCTGGCTCTCCCTGTGACTTTAGGTCATTTAACCTTTGGATTCTCAATTTTCTCATCTGAAAAAAAAAAATAAGAAGCCTAGAATCTCTAAGGTTCCTTTCAGTTTTAAAATTTAGTGTTTTGAAAGCCGGGAGTTTGGTCAGAGGGATAGAATAGGTGGTTTTGTTATTATTAGTTTTTTTTGGTTTGTTGGTTTCTTAGTAAGTACAGAAAAGGAAAGGAAACCTTGAGTCATTTTGAAAAATCTTGCAAAACAGTAGGTATTTTTCTACATGAAACTCATCCCCACCCCCCAACACACTGTATTATGGGAGATTTACTCTCTTCCCCTTTAACAAAATGTTTTCTCACCGACTACAGCCTTGTGGCAGCATAGACAATAAGCTATTCCTAATACCAATTTGCTGAAAAGGGAAGTGCTATATTATTATATGTCTAAAAATCTGGAGTCATAAACAAAAATGATGTCTTCTTGCAACTCTATCTTATCCCTCTTTAGAGGTATGTTTCAATGCCCTGTCCTTTCCATTGCAGAGTAGTGGTCTACTAGGCTAGGCCTCCACAATCCACCCCTCACCCCTCTAATCACCTCTCCTCCTCTTCGCCTCCTTGCACACTGCATTCCTGCTATTCCTTGAGCACCCCAGGCACAGTGGGTGCTGAAGAGTCCCCCACTTCAGCCTACCTTGGGGCCTCTGTACCAGCTGATCTCTCTGCTCAAAATACTGACCCTGGTGGCTGGATGCCTCACCCCAGAAAGGATTTGTCCTCCCTACCCTACTGTACCCACCCTATTCCCAATCCCCTTAACCCTTCTCCACTTTTATACTTTGCTTTTTTCCCATAGCACTTATTATCTTATAACACCATGTATACCTTATTTATTATGGTGATTGCTTGTTTTCTGTTTATTAGGATGTAAGCCCTGTGAGATCAGGGATCTGTTTTGATGCACACCAAGTGCGTAGGACAGTGTTTGATATGGGGGAGCCACTCAGTAAATGTTTTTTGAATGAAAAATTGCATGATCAAATTCAGGAGGAAGAGCTGCTGTTATGGAACACAGGACTACTTCTGTGGACTAGGTAGTTTATAAGCCTGAAGTCGAGAGTTTGCCTTCAGGTAGACTCTAAGCTGATAGAGATAAGATTCTATACATTTTTACCTGCAGAATTGATGGTGCTAGGCTTAAGATACTGGTCTTGTGTATGCTCAGAAAGGCTTTGGCCATAAAATTCCGGACTTAATTATAAGCAATGTATAACTTTAAAATCATATAAATTCTTAGATTGAAAAATAACATTGAAAGGTAGTGATTCCTAAAATAAGAATAACAAAACATTTTCTTGGTTATATTGCAGCAAAGAAGACAGTGGAATCCAAAGAAACAGTTATGATGGGGGACTCTGTGGTGAAAATAAATGGGATTTATTTAACAAAATCAAATGCTATTTGCCACTTAAAGAGTCACCCACTTCAGCTAACTTATGATGGAGGCTTCAGTGAAATAAAGGAGCAAGAAATGTTCAAAGGAACAACATCCTTACCGTCTCATCTCAAGAGTGGAGGGTCAGTATTCTTTTTATTTAATTTTCTGGTCAGGATAATGATGTCATTTACCAGTTTCATCTGTATCTTATATAGATGATTGGTTTGCTTTTTCTCTTTTATATAAGCAAATTTTATGTTAAGGGTACATGAATAGGAGAGACTACTTCTCATGGCCAAATCGAGTTGATTTTATATCATTCCTCATGTAATGCTCAAGAAAACTTTTATTCATGACTGTCACAGTGCTGCTTCTGTAGGACTATCAGAATAAGATTTAGTTGGACTATTCTAGCCATCCCTTGAGTGATAATCATTCCATTTGTGTGTTATTTGGGATTCTTGCATGGCCTGGAATCTCCTATTGTCTCCCTTTGGGTTAGTTCACTGTCCTTAACTCCGCAAGAGTGGACACTTACTTTATTCTTCAGTAGATCTTGGATTAAATATTTATTTTGCAAACTAATGGCTAAAACAGAAGAGTCCTATAGATTTCAGTTATCTGTGAGATCCCTCCATTAGTCCCTCATAAATGAATGATTGGGAATTACTTTATTTCATACCATGTTCCTAAATAGGGTTTCCTTGAGAATCAATATTCCTACCGTATTAAGGATCTGTGGAGAAATGCTTGCTGTTTGGACTGTGAATTCTTACCCTGGTGTTTTACTGAAGAAACCTTGAATAATTGGTGCCTGGAATGGGGGAAAGAGTGGAGAGAACAGGCTCTGTTTTCCAGTCCCAGCCAGTAATGATGCTAAGAGAGGCAGAACGTCTTGAACTGGACAGGTCACTCAGTTTAAGATATTTTTTTCTAGGACTTTCCATTGGGTCATCATGGATAACTGCCCAGTTCAGATTTGCTTAACAAGATTAAATTCCATGAGCCATTTTAAGATCAAGTATTTCTTACCCTCACGTTAGATTTCGAGTCTGATTTTGGCTTGGACACATGTAGCATGCTCAAAACTTTTCCCCCAAGTGGCTGCTTGGCAGCTTGTTTAGCTGAACCGACCTTGTCTGCTGACACAGCCTGAAGAGTGTCACACACACGGAATTTATATTAAGCAACCTAGTAGTCCTTGTAATGTCGTTTTGCATTCAGAACATTTTTTTAAATTAAAGGAAAAATGAAATGTCTCCTTAAGTGGAAGAGAACGACTTCAAATTGGGACTTTGGGAGTTGAGTAGAAAACATCAAACTGGCCATTGCAGACAAATCGTTTCCAGTTGGTGAATAAGAATAGGCTGTGGACCTCAGAGCTTAAACATAAAAGGCAGTGGGAAAACTTGTGTTTCTTTCAGTATTTAAGTAAAAAGGAAACATTTATCTTGCCGCATCCATCCTTACAGTAATGAAAGTTGACTAGAAAAACCAGACAAGAGCTATTTAATTTGTTTATTTGCAAACCTTCAGATGTGGCAGAATAATCTGGAAAGCCAGAGTTCATTATGTCTTCCTCATTCTGGAACTTCAGGGGCATTTTCAGTTACATGTTTTATCCCACAAACAGCAAAAGACAAATCAGTTAGCACTTCTTCCTCACTGTCCAAAATTATGAGGCGTTGGCAACAGCGCTAATTGTTTTCTTTGTGTTTTGTTAGGACAGCTTTTGTATCATATAAGGATTGTGTCTAAGTTGGGTTTGCAATGTACCCTGGCAAGGTTAATTTTCAGTAACATTTTTGCTTTATGAATCTTTACCTCCTTTAATCATTGGGTGGAATTTTGTTGGAGTGGTGCCAAAAAAGAAAAAAGTTTATATAGTAGGATTAAAACAAACCAGAAAATGGAAACTCTTAGCAATTCTTTCATAAATGACATTAGTGAATCAGTCTGGGACACTTGATAATTGTTTCTTGTAAACTAATTTAAGTGACTAATTCCAAGAAACAATCTTTGCTATGCAATGGACTATTCCCAGTTTTGATGCTAGAGCCCTACCCTCAATTAACATTTTTTCATCTTTAGACCATAAAGTGAAAATGAAGACTCTTGTCAGTGAGCTGGGCTGGCAGGAGCAGGGAGGGTTGAGGAGTGTGTAAGTAGACCGTGGAAAGGGGACAGAGTGGGTGAGGACACACTCCTAGTGTGGGGACCTTGCAGGCTTGTCCAGTGTGAGAGTGGCCACCTGGGTGGTGTGTGTTTGTCTGGCTGGGAGAGGAAGGAGCATTTTATTTCCATGAAACTGCAGTAATTGTATACTCTCATTTAAAATATGGATAATTCAGATATGGGATGGACTGGAGTTCAACTTTATGCTGGTTATGGTGGAAAAAGGATTTGCTAAGCAAAGTATCATTGTAAACAATATTTTAGAGGACTATTTAACTTTACAAAAGAGAACACACTCTCAAGCACGTATGGGATGCCATCCTCAAACCTCGTGCCAGTTATAATAGTCTCCATATGCCCATTTAGGGATTCATTTAAGGTCTGGCAGACTTGCTCCTCAGCAATACTTCACCATCACTTGCTTTGTATTACTATATGGATTAAAAGTAATGCAGCCGCCATTAACAAAATGTGTGTATGCTCCATCCATTCATCCACCCATCCACCCATCCACCCACCGACATATTCACCCACACACCCATTCATCCACCCATCCACCTATCTATCCACCCATTCACTCATCTACTCATCCACTCATCTGCCCACCCATCCACCCATCCATCTGTCTACCTACCCACCCATCCATCATTCATCCATCTATCCATCCATCCATCCATCCATCCATCCATCCATCCATCCACTCATCTATATATTTACCCATCTATCCAACCCATTCACCCATCCATCCACCTATCCACCCATCCATCTATCTACCCATTCACCCATCCATATATATCCACATCCATCCACCCATTCACCCATCCATCCACCTATCCACCCATCCATCCACCTATCCACCCATCCATTCATCCATCCATCCATTCATACATCCATATACCCATCTACCCATTCATCCACCCATTCACCTATCCATGCACCCATTCACCCATCACCCTATCCATCCACCCATTTATCCATTCACCCATCTATTCATTCACCTATCCACCTACCCATCTACCCATCTATCCATCCATCCATCCATCCATCCATCCATCCATCCATCCATCCATCCATGGAATCTCTTTCAAAGCAGATGAATCTCTTTACCTGCTTTAAAAATCTTTTAAGGCTTTCTGTGTAAATGTTCAAACTGTTATGTTTTGGAAATGTGATCTTTAGGAGGAAAGCCCAAGAGCAGCCAACTGTTGTGGAGAGTCAGGGACTCTTCCTGAGGAGCCAGAATCTCTGGACTTAGGTTTGATTCTCTTTCAGCCACTTGATTTAGCTGTATGTGGCAAGTCTGTTAACACTTTCAGGGGCTCAGTTTTCTAATGTATAAAATGGAAATAACTCTGCTCTTTTACGGCCATCTCCTTCTAGCCCTCACTTTAGGTTGTGGAATGATGACTAAGGCTTGAAAGCCTTACTAATAAACTATCAAGTGCTCTTAGTATTGTTGGAATAAAAAATAAGAAAAGAGGGCTTCTGGTTAAAGGCACAAAGGCATTCTCTAGTAATTCAATGAAAGCAGCAAAGAATGAAAAACAGAGAAGTAAATTTCATCAATGAAACAAAAAAATGGCTACGACCCTGAACTACACAACATGAAGCAAACTTTACACTGCAGTATGAGCTTGATGTTTGTTGGTCTGCCTGACAAACAGGCCTTCTTGCATTGTGTAATAAATCCTGCTCAATCCATATTTGGAGAAAGGCTAGCCCTATCTTCCCTGTGTCCCTCCCAGGGATGGTTATGTGGCCCAGGGCTGGCTAATGAGAGTTCCAACCCCAGCTACAGCAGTTGATTCAGAGATGGGCACATGATCCAAGCCAGGCTGGTTGCATTCCTCAATGGGACTTTCACCAAGGCCTTTGGGGAAAGTGCTCTTTCTCCAGGTTCACAAACTATAAAGATGATGTGGTCTTGGAGCTGACAGTGGCCTTTCCACAGCCTTATGGAGAGAGGTTCTGAGAGGGAAGTGGTATATAAACAAAAAAAAACAAAGAATGAATATAATGATCAAGTTCAAGGATGATATATAAACCTCTAGATCCAGCTGTGCCTGAAGTCACCACATCAACATTGTAGAATACTATTTTGTGAGCCAATATGTTCCTTTTTCTCTCTCCTTCCTTCTTTTCTTTTTCTTTTCTTCTCTCTCCTTCCTTCCTACCTTCCTTCCTTCCTTTTTTTTTTTTTTTTTTTTTACGGAGTCTAGCTCTGTTGCCAGGATGGCGTGCAGTGGCACGATCTTGGCTCACTGCAACCTCCGCCTCCCTGGTTCAAGCGATTCTCCTGCCTCAGCCTGCCGAGTAGATGGGATTACAGGCATGCACCACCACGCCAAGCTAATTTTTGTATTTTTAGTACAGATGGGGTTTCACCATGTTGGCCAGGATGGTCTTGATCTCCTGACCTTGTGATCTGCCCACCTCAGCCTCCCAAAGTGCTGCGATTACAGGCATGAGCCACCATGGCTGGCTGGCTTTCTTGCTTTCTTTCTCTTTCTTTCTCTTTCTTTCTCTTTCTTTCTTTCTTTCTTTCTTTCTTTCTTTCTTTCTTTCTTTCTTTCTTTCTTTCTCTCTTTCTCTCTTTCTCTCTTTCTCTCTCTCTTTCTCTCTTTCTCTCTCTCGCTCTCTCTTCTTTCTCTTTCTTTTTCTTTCTTCTTCTTTTCTTCTCTCCCTCTTCTCCCCTTCCTTCCTTCCTTCCTTCCTTCCTTCCGGGAGAGTTTGTGATACTTTAGATTAGGTTTTGTCACTTGGACCATTGCATTCATAAGAATCTAGTTAGCCTTCCAGACCCTAAGAAATCTAGATGATAACAAGGGGTAATTTGAAAGTAGACACATACCTTCTCAGACCTTGAGCAAGAAACAGATTTTACTAAAAGTGAGTCTCTTAATTTAGAAAGGTGTACTCAATATTTAATTAAAGAGATGAGATCTAACGATGTGGGCAGGCTGTG